TCTTTGATATCACATTACTGTGAATAAAATGTTATCCGTACGTTGTTTTGGCCAAATTTTAGCACATAGATAGATGAAAATGTATTGGAGAGAGGGGGTGTGCATTTGTAGGGTCAAGTCCGTGATGTCTGTCTGCAGCACTGTTCCTCCCAATTGCTGCAGATAGATGTCAAGTGAAATACATTTCCAGGTAAGAAAGGCATGGTTTTCTCATAAAACGTGTCTCACAGTTGCATATCCTCAGAGTGCGTGTATATACATTGAAATGTTGTGCATTCAAGGCTCGAATACTTAGATGGACTCGTGTAATTATCATTGTTATCCCAGTTAGTAATGTTGATTGCCTCTAGCATATTCCATATTATTGTTTCATGTTTTTTCCTGTGGATGTTCAGCCAGTGTGGTAGATATTGGGGCTGTTGATGGTGTGATGTAAAAGTAATCCAAGATTCTTGAAAATGTAGCAAAGAAAAAAAAAAAAACCTTAATTGTTCTTAACTTTTTTTTTTTTTGTCTCCTTTTCTAGAAGTGGAACACTAAACAACCATTTAGAAGCTGCTATTCACGAAGCTATGAGTGAGCTGGACAAAATGTCTGCCAATGTAAGTTAGTGTTTCTTTAAAAAAATAAACGCTTTATGATTAAAGGGTCACCACTTGCCCCCTCTCTTTTTTTCAACTTTAGCCCATCCATTATAACTGCAGCACTTATAGCAAGTAACTTGTACAGAATCTTTCATAATTCAAGCACCAGGGTAGGTGTGGCTAGGGCTGCATAAACAGAAACAAAAGTGATTTAACTCCTAAATGGCAGACAGTTGAGCGGTGAAACTTCAGAGGCATGATCTATATGTAAAAAGTCCTTCATTAAGCTTAACTAGAGATCCTCCAAGTTAATTGTTATACCTGCACCTTATGTATTTTCATTAATTGTATGTCCTATATATCCTATATATATTGCATCTGTTATGGTGGTAGTTTGATTAAAAACCTCAGTTGAGGTTGAAACAAAGTTGTGTATCTTCAAAAAAATCTGCCTGCCACTTTACCTGAGTCCCTCTTTTGTAAGGAGAAAGTCAGTCCTCTTCATCTCTTACATATTAACTTTTGACAGTGCAGCTGTTGTGCTCTGTCTCCATGATGCTCCATTGTCAATGAATTCTTGTGACCTGCACTGTCTGATTAGCCAACATTGATTATCGGTTGCGTTGCATGGCTACATAAAAACATGAAATAGGTTGCAGTTTTTATCTGTGCTTCTTAATTAATACTGGGTTCTAGTGCAGTTTTTCTGTGCATGTATTCTAAGTATCCACAGGTGATATAGAACAATGGTTCTTAAATTAGTTCTCAAGGAACAACTATGGTTCGGTATCCCACTACTAAAATATGCTTACTGTAAAGAACCCTTTCTTTTGGTGTGTGTGTGTGTGTGTTAGTTTAGTTAGTTAAAGAGTATTTGGGCTACTGTTTCTGCTTGCAGTGTTAAGTAGCACTTCACTAATTATCTGGTTTATTTGTCATTTTAGGTGCATCAGATTCCACAGAGAGACCGACAGTTAAAGCCTCCGAAACCGAAGAGGAGAAAAATATCTAGATAGCATTGAATGTCTTTAATAACGGTTGAGAACATGCACATATATCTGTATATAGGCATTAATATTAATATATGTATATCAATATTTCTATGATGATAGATATCACCACCTGGTGTAAAGTGAAAACAGTGGTAAATATTTTTGCATTTAGGCAGTTGGTTTTCAACCCATTGCGGTCTTTGAAAGAAATCATACTTGTGCGATAGAATGAAGAATTATTTTTTTTTTCTATGATGCGACAATTGTGATTTAAAAAATTGGAGAAAAAAATGTTCAAAATGTTTCTGATACAGTTTCATTTTCAATGTGTGAGTTTATATATATATATATATATATATATATATGTATGTATATATGTATGTATATATATATATATATATTCTCGAATTTCATGCTGATAATTGAAATGTAAATATTGTACAGTATTGTCGCGTACTGACTGCACACTATCTTTTAATGTACAATAATCGTGTACAAAAATTCTTTGGGTTTCTATCAAGAACACATTCAATAGGCCTACCAGTGTATACTGGTAAATAATGATACAGCCTAAATGCTTTTCTATGATAACGTAAGAGATGCTGTTTTGTAATTGACAGCAGAGGACAGGCATGATTATGTAATCTCTGAACTATGACATTCACTTCATGTTGTTTCCATGTCTCTCCATTTAGAATTAACCTTGCTCAGAAGTTTTTGTTTTTTAAACTTCTTTCAGGTCCCTGTGGGAGAGTGAATTCGTGCCGAATCCTGAAGGGAATTGTGATTGCATGTCAAGTGCTTATTTAACAAACTGCAATAATGTATTTTAGTTTTTTTGTTTTTTTTCTCACTGTAAGTGCTTAGTATCCAAGGGTGAGTTAGCATAAATGTTTAACCAAACCCCCCAATCGGTAGTACATTAATTAATATTTATTATCTATCTATCATGGTATATACAGTTTAGACTGTATTTGAAGAGCATACAATTTAACCGATACATTCTTAGTAGACTTGCTAACAAATGTATATTTATATATTTTTTTTAAAGGAATTTCTTCCCCACACCTGTAAGATCTCTTTGAAGATAACAGACTATGCAATTTGCATGTACCTCTGTGCTCAGAATTTCTTGACAAGCGAAAGAGAGGAACCTTTAATAAAAGGTCTCCTGCTCCTTCACGCCTTTTATAACGGGCTCCACAAAGCTCCCACCCACCAGTAAGGTAATTGGCCCTGGGGAAGTGCAGAAAGGGGACAAGTTGTGGGCAGATCCAGGGATTAGTCTAATATCTTGCTAAACTGTGAGATATGTTATTGATCAATACGGTTGATTTTACATGATTTATCTGATGAGGTATTAGTGCTTAATGTGACACTGTCGTGACAGATTCACTTTAAACTACAAAGATGTATTGTTTTCACTGGTTCTCGAGTATGTCCTGTGGTCTAGATGTTGGTATAATGTCTGTTGTTGCAGAGCTTTTTGAAGTAGCCAGAGTTATAGGACGCCATTATAATTCTTATGGGTAGTATGGCTGTCTGTGCAGTCACTTCTGTCCTCCTTATTTGTAGTCTTTACCAATGGCACAGGGGTTAAGAGGCATTAAGTAAGTCTTATTATACACATTTGCCAGCAATTCTCCTAGCAAAATGTACTGAGGAAAGTATACCCTCAATAAAGTGATAACAAGTCATACTCGATAAACAGAAAGTACCGTTTGCATTACTCTGGATTTTGCATCAGATAAAGTTTTACAATTTGACAAGATTTGTTTAGCAAATTGGATTAGTGCAGCAATTCTCAAATCAGCCATCAATGTCTACCTAATTGAGGTATTTCTCAATATCTGCTCTAATGGGAATATTTATACGTCCCTGCCCATTTTGGCCCCTTTTGGTACCAGATTGATAATTACTACATTGGGGTTCGTGTCTTTTTCCAGCTAAGAACATGCGTCTTCCTTTCTCTGGTATTCTCCATAGTTGCTCAGCACTTACAGAGGTGAAATCAAAATATTTTTTAGAGTTTATTTTTGTTTTTAAATAATTTTATCTTAAGTTAAGTTGAACTTTTAAAGTGAGTAAAAGGCAAATCAAATAAGTTTTTAAAGGAGCGAAGAACTTAATATTGTATTCATATTGTATTGAGAGATTTTGGAGGGGGAAAAAAATAGTATTTGGTACAAAACATTGCAACAGATGTCTAATAGGACATGTTAGATCTAGCCGCTTGTGACCAAGGAACAATGTTTAATTAAGCTTCAATTCCTCAATACATATTTGGTTCTCCAGTCTTGTCTGTCATATAAAAATCATCAAAATATGTGATGTGCACAGGAGGCCCATTTTAATTACGTTCTTCCCCTTTAAAAGTGTTATGTCTATTGACATGAGCTTAAATTGCACCTATTTTCAGCCTGGCCAGCTCTCAATAATATAGACTTTCCGTTTATTTAGAATTAATTATGAGTTTTACACAGTGTGCGAAATTCTACTCTCTATGTTACAGTTACAAACCTACCCACTAAACTTAAAAGGGTATTTGCTGTAACTCTTTGAATTCACAACAAAAGTGAATGTTTATTGCCTATACTGCTAATTTATAGTTCATTTCTATACTACGCATTACGTTACAAACAGTCAAGAAGGTTATAAGCTCTCTGTCTTGGTATTCTAACCTTATAAGCATGTATGTCTGTTATATTTTTATTTTTTTCACCCTCAAGACCCATCACGCAGTATTAATACATGGAAAGTGAGGTGGCTGGCCTCTCAACCAGCAGCTAATTTTAATTTCTTTTTTTTTTTTTTTTTAAATCAGTATTATGTAACATATCACAGATTTATTTTATTTAAAAAGAAGTATTTATACTGTTAACAGATTATATATTAATGTGGCTGAAACATGCAAGTTATTTTATTAACCAAATTATTTATGTTACGTAAAGTGAAAATGTGAAACAGAAAAAAAAGACATAAAAAAACACTACAAATAAATGAGCCTACATTATTGTAATTGCAACAAAAGATTGAATCTACTATATGTATATATTTATATATGTATGTTTGAGAAGCTAAGTGGTATGTACATATATATATGTATATATACATAGGCAATGTAGTTTGGTATGATTTTCTTCCTATGTTTGCTACCTGGTGGATTTCAGCAGGGCTACACTAAGCTACAGTGGCCTGAGGTCAACAATTCTCTCATCCTTGTCTGGTTCATTTCTAATTTTCACACCATGGCAGAACATCACAACATGGTCTCCCAAACAACTTCTGTGAAACAATTTATGTATTTTAGTTGACACTTTTTTTTTTTTGTTACAACCTAGTGTGTGTGCGTTACTTTGAAACTGTTAATGTTACTCATTTTTCGTACTTGTCTGCTTTTCTGCTGTTTTTGTCTTCACAGATGTTATTCATAAAGATAATGTACGTTTTATTTTCTTATCTGTTTGTTTATATCTCTCTCCCCCTCCACAGTTTTTATGGTCATCTTTTGGAGAATATTTGTACTGATTAGCCATTTATCTAATGTTTGCGCTAATTACTTTTGTTATCTCCCAACATTATACTTTACAATAGTAGCCTGTGTAAAGTATGTACATTGTCACTCACTCATTGATCTGTTAGTGTGAGTGATAGAGGTAGTTGGTTTAAATTCATAAAGTTTTGGGGATTTTTGTTTGTGTTTTGTTTTTTTGTTTTTCTGCATTCTTATGGTTTTATGTATGCAGCTAATGTAAATATTGTGCGCATTACAGGTCATGCAGTGTTGTGACATTTAAAAAAAACAAAAAATGTTGCACCTACTTTACGATTAAAGAAAAGAAAAAGAAACTGGTCATATACTTGAAATTCTACCTGCAGAGCTATTTATTTCTGTGTTTAAAAGTAAATTTTTACTAGGAGAGCCTTTGGTGAGCTATTGGAGTGGGTTTCTTCAATAAATCTACATTTGTTTTTTTTGAGTAAAACAAACCTATTATTCATTTTTCACATAAGTGTTAATAGAAAGGCATGCATTGACCAAACATTGTTTAATGTTGCCCTGACCCTTGACTCCTATTACCTTGTAATTGATGAGTTTTAGGTCTCCATTATAAACTTGAATATATTAGAAGGTACTTCATAAAGCAGTTAATGAAAATACAATTTTTAAATTCCATTTAAACCCAATAGATATTAAATAGCTAGAATATATATATATATATATAGTAGAATATTCCTTGCACTCACGCTTAAGTAGTCCAATTTGCCTTATTAGGCTTGCCGGGTGCCAGTCTTTAGGGTCCTTCAATGTAGTATACAAAACAAAGCAGGCTGCACTCACGGACTTTCAAACTTCAAGTGTAATTTTATTCCATCCAAGAAACAAAAACGATCAACGTTTCGGCCCACGCAGGGGCCTTCATCAGGATCAAACAGTACTGCGTGGGCCGAAACGTTGATCGTTTTTGTTTCTTGGATGGAATAAAATTACACTTGAAGTTTGAAAGTCCGTGAGTGCAGCCTGCTTTGTTTTGTATAATATATATATATATGTATAATGTATAGTATAATATGTATAATATATATATATATATATATATATATATATATATATATATATATTCTCTCTCCCCCCGTATTGTTCAGCTTAAAGGACCACTCTAGGCACCCAGACCACTTCAGCTTAATGAAGTGGTCTGGGTGCCTGGTCCAGCTAGGGTTAACCCATTTTTTCATAAACATAGCAGTTTCAGAGAAACTGCTATGTTTATGAATGGGTTAAGCCTTCCCCTATTTCCTCTAGTGGCTGTCTCATTGACAGCCACTAGAGGCGCTTGCGTGCTTCTCACTGTGATTTTCACAGTGAGAGCACGCCAGCGTCCATAGGAAAACATTATGAATGCTTTCCTATGTGACCGGCTGAATGCGCGTGCATTCAGCCAACGTGGAGGATCGGAGGAGGAGAGCTCCCCGCTCAGCGCTGGAAAAAGGTAAGTTTTAACCCCTTTCCCCCTTCCAGAGCCGGGCGGGGGTGGGGGCACCCTCAGGGCACTATAGTGCGAGGAAAATGAGTGTGTTTTCCTGGCACTATAGTGGTCCTTTAACTGTATGATGCCCAAGGCCATTAGCGTTTTATTCATCCCACAATGACTAGAGGCTGTAAGCCATTCCCAGCCCAGCTGAAATGCTTTCAAATTTTTAATACCTCCTTTCATCCTGTTTGTTTACATGGCTACACAGTGTGCCTACTGGGAGAAAATACCATTTTTCTTTTTTGTTATATATTCAGAGGGATGTTATTGAATGAAGGACCCCCAGATATTACAAATAAAATATTCTATTGTATGTGTTTTTAGCCTGATGTAGCTGGCAAGGTACAAAAAGCAACAAACTCAGAATTTCTTCACCATGGTAATAAAGAGCAATCAAGTGGTTGTGTAATGCAGAAGGTGTAAAGAAATTAAAAAGAGGCAATTGCGTAGTTATCTAAAACATAAGCTGCAATAACTCAACTGCTTTCTGACGGCAGAGGGTTTATCAATTCCTGTATTAGATGAATGGCCGTTGAGACTCCATAACAGGGAGATTTCACAACTTCTGTATTCTGTTGTTGCCTTAGACATGCTGTACAACCTACCCCTAAACATCTTCATAAACTCAACCAAATTTGCTTCTCTTGTTTCTTTCAATAGGAGCGCTGTGCATATACCAAGTCAACAGGGTTTTTGTGTTGTAGGGTTAAGTACTCACAAGTAATTAAACTACTCTGCGTTTATGGAGGAAGTTAGTAGGAACTTACTAGCTTACTCAACAGTTTTCTCGATGAATGTATTAAAAATCTAGAATTAAATATGAAAGATGCGCTTTGTGAGTGCTATAGAATAACTCTTAGAAAATGCTTTGACAGAGTCTATACAAGTTAGGAATTGATGCTCCATCTTATATCCCTCCACCTGATACCTGCATCATAAAAAGAGAATGGTGTGGCTTCTAACATAAACTATACAAGGTGATTGGTTTATTATGATTCCATGATACCTTACCTATGCGGTAAGTTTCCCATTAAGCATCAGAATTCTTAGGATAGTCTTAAAATTTAAAGGAATACGAAAGAGTGGAGTTGGCCCATACTTTTATTTATCATGTAGATAATGCAGTAAATCTGTATTTAAATGTAAAAAAAAAAAAAAAAAAATACATTTGAAGATGTAAATTAAGCTTTCAATTTAGATACTTAACTGTGGTACTTACTTCAGAATAAAATATACTTTGGGAGTTCCAGGTCAATCTTGACTGCAGAGCAGATAAGAAGAACAGAGAGAGGATTCCAGTTCAAGAATGAAAACAAATACTTGGTTACTATGAAATAGACTGATTTCTATGTCATAAACAAGAAAAAGTAGTTCTGATTTTCTGAACTCCAACACATAAGCTGTTTACAAACAAGATGCCATTTCATCCTACATTAAACCCAGAAAAGCCAATAGGACGAAATAACTGCCAGATTTATGGAAAATTGGATAGGAAACATAATATTTATGGCTCCAAAATGTCCGTTACAGGATGGCGGTGAACCTGACATTTGCAAATAAATGTTTTTCCATTCCAACATTCAAAATGAAAAACCTTAAAAAGTGTAGTAGTTAAGTCAAGTCATTGGAGCCATTTGGTTACACCTTACTTACATGAATTTGATTCTCTTGACATGCTCAACAAACAAACTACACTCTCATATCCTGAAGAATTGAGAAGGCATGACAAGCTATAAACACAGAGTAAAAAGTTATCGGATGTTTATAAATAACCTAGTGAGCGAAAAAAAACAAGTGCCGGAGAGTAGTGAGAAAGGACAACAGATCAAATAGCATTCAGGGGTTTCCCGCTCACAGCTCAAGCTGGTTTTAGCTCATCTTATGCCATTACAAAAATAACCAAGCCATTTGCATATCAGATTGATTCGAACTAAAAGTGCATAACAGATACGAAATGCAGGCTGGCTCTCTTTGCACCAGATATACAACTACCCTAGACAATGATTTCAGCCTTGTCTGTGAGGTATAGCCAACACCCCTCTAGGCTTCGTGAGCAATGGGTCCACACCTGAATTACCCTCTAAATTTAGGTAGAGCAAAAAAAACAAAACCAGGTACAAGAGATTAATGAGAAGAAACTACAGCTCACATAGCCTACCCTTCGGTGGGTCCCCACTCAGATCTAAAGCTGGTTTTAACTCATCTTGTGCCATTACAAAAATAACTGTTTTGCATGTTAAAGGGCAAGACAACTAACAAGTATATTTTGTAGCACACTTTTTACCCCTGCAGAATGGACATTGGATTCAGGTATGTTATCCATGAAAGGGAATTTTCCCACAAAAACATAGTAGTCTCTAGTTTCAACAACAAATTACCCAGACCAAGCACTTATAAGAAATACCATCCAGCTTCTTAAACCACTAAAAAGGTGGAAAACACTTAAAGCATAGGGAGAAGAAACAGAATAAAAAGTTATACGGTTTCAATGTTTGTGTGTGTCCCGTTAAAACATTTCACTCCCAATATGTAAAAAGTTTCAACAAAATGTATCCGATTCAACAAGAATGTAGCTCACAGGGCAAATTATAACAAACATATGGAGTGATGTAATATGCGACACGATCACAAAGGTTATTTAAGGTTAATTAACTCAGCAAAGGTTAATGAAATCAGCGTTTATCCCCCTCTCTTCAGAGAATTTAAACTCCAAACTCTCTCCACACAGTGAAATACTGCAGTATGAAGGGAAACGCTCGCAAAGAAATATAGTGTAGATAAAATAAATTACAAGATCCACAACAAACAAATACAATTAAAAAAAAAAAGTGATGAAATGGGAAAATGTTTTAAAACAGGCTGTATAAAGCTGCGTATATAAATGCAGGGTGAAGTTAGATTTTATTTTTCTCACTTCACAAGATGTCTTTTATTATGTTTATTTATCCCTTCTAGTTAACAAATATGTAATTGTGAGGTGTGAAAATAAAATTAAATGTAGCGATGCACACCTCTCTATCCTGCAACTCCGTGCCTCCATCTTAACTCCCTGGCAATCTTTAAAGGACCACTATAGGCACCCAGACCACTTCAGCTTAATGAAGTGGTCTGGGTGCCAGGTCCATCTAGGGTTAACCCTGCCCAGGGGAGGGCTGGCAGCCTTAGGCCTGGGGGGCGAAACCAGTCAAGTGGCCCATTGCACCACCAAATCAGTTCACCATCCATGCCCACCTGGTTTTATAACGGATATTGATGTTATGCTAATCAGTAGCTCTTTGCCATACCCGCTCCTTCACGGCTCTGACTTTCAATGTTGTCAGAACGCAGGCTGAGAATCTCTGAGCCTGTGCTCTGACTCACTAACTGAGCGCCGGAACCACGAGGGAGAGGATATAATCTGACTGCACCTACTGCTGGTGCGCACCAGTGGACCACCAGCGAATCGTTTAAATTGAATAGGCTGGTGTCCCCAACTTGTGAGCTGTGTTGGCCGCCGGGCGCCTCTGTTGTCATGGCACCCTGCGTGACCGCACAGCTTGGACACCCCAACGGCTGGCCCTGCTGACACATACTGATGTTACTACTTAGAAATCCCTCAATATTAATACAGACATCAGAGTAAACACCAATTAACTGTGCAAACAGAGCTGATCCCCCCAAAGATTTGCTTAATGGATTTGTTGTAAGATTAAATCATGCCTCCTCCTCTCCCTCTCCCATGCGCTGCGCTGTAGGCTGGGAGGAAGTGAAGAGTAATCACATTCTCCCAGCACAGCGCCACCTGTGGCTGCATGGGGAACAGCTGTTTAATGTAATGCTTGCAGGACGGCCACCTGCCGCAGAACCTCTTAGTTCCCATCGCTGCAAAGGGCTCCAGGCACTGCTTGCTGTGAGTGTGAGCCACTGTAAATTAGGGGCAAAGGGCACTTGCACTGCGGTAAAGACAGGTCTGGGCAGGAGGAGAGTGCAGTGCAATCCCCTCCCGTGGGTCACCAGTAGACTGGTGCACCTGCCCAGGATCAGAGCCGGAGCAAGGATTTTTGCTGCCCTAGGCAAAGGAAAAATTAGCTGCCCCCCCATGTGACATCACAATGCCCCACCTATATAATCTGCCATATGAACTAATGCCAAAGCTGCACACAGTGTGTGTTTACATTAAAAAGCCTGCAGGGACCGGCTATAGACACCAGAACCACTTAATTAAGCTATAGTGTCCCTTTAATGTGAGGTAAATTATAGATTAGTGTCACTAATAATATACTAGATTGCCTACTTACAACCAGATGAGGATGATGATGGGCTGCGGTTTGGCTCCACTGGTCTGGTGTAGAAGAGAATCTCTGAAGGCTGTTTGTAACTGTGGTCACAAAATTCAAAGTTCTAGTAGAATGGGAAGCAGCTCCATTTTTTTGGGGCCCCTTAAACAGCTCAAGGTCTGGGTCCCAGGGCCTGACGGTGAGTATGCCCATAAGGCCCACCTAAAAGTCCACCTACATGTTCCACCCATGAGTTAGCTCACAGGGAGTGGAGTGTGTAGGGGATGTTATGTGTTATTGTAAAGGATCTAATATAGGGATACCAGTTTGTGTAGGTGATGCAGTGTATTTGTAGTGGAGGCAGTGTGTGTTTGTGTATAAGCGATGTATTGTGTGAATCTGTGTTTGTATGCATAAGGGATGCAAGGTGTGTGTCTGTAGTGTGTGCATTGAGTGTGTGTATGAAATACATTGTGTTTCTGTGTATATGTAAGAGAAGCAGTGTGTGTGTTTGCATATGTGTGTAAGGGTTTGCATTGTGTGTTTCTGTGTATGTGTGCAAATGATGCATTGTCTTTGTGTGTAATGGGTGCACTGTGTGTTTCTCTGTGTGTGTAGGGATGCATTGTGTGTTTGTGTATGTATAGGGATGCATTGTGTGTTTGTGTATGTATAGGGATGCATTGTGTGTGTGCGCGTAGTGTGAAAGAGCTCCCTGTCCTGCCCCCTGTCCTATAGAGCTCTCCTCTGCCCCTTAGTGGTCTCTCCCCCCCCTTCCCTAGCAGTCACTTCTCACACCCACCCACCCTCCCTGTGCTCTTCTCATCCCCCCACCCCCCCAAACCTCCGGTATTCTTTTCAGCCCCCTCCCTCCCTGTGTTCTTCTCACCCCCCCATGTGTTCTCCTCACCTCCCCCCATGTGTTCTACTCACTCCCTCCACCCTCCCTGTGTTCTTCTCACTCCCCCACCCTCCCTGTGTTCTCCTCATCTCCCCTTCTCTCCCCTCCTCCCTGTGTCCTTCTT